TTCCCCCCCCCCCCCCCCTCGCAGCCGGTGCTGGGGCTGGGAGGCGAAAGAGAAGATGGAGGCGTTCAAACTGCGCGCCTACAGCCGGCGGAGACAGAAGAAGGTTCACTGTTCCTCCCCGCTACCGGGGGTGGCTGCGTCAATCCCCAGAGGCAGCAGCAAAGCGGGCCCCTTCCAGCCCTGCCGACGCCTCTTTGCCCCACCCTTGAGGGAGTCCAATGCCCAAAGTAAGTGACTTGTCTCCTCATCACCTTCCTGAGTTTCCTTCGATATTCTCATGGGCGTTCTAGAGACGTCACTGCCACTTCAACGTATGAGGCGAAAATCTAGCCTGAGGTTGGGTGCAATCAGCAAGATGCTGGGTGATAATCCTACAAAGAAATGTTCACATGCCACATCCTGGGTGGAGAGGGGGTTGTCTGTGTCTACAGGAGAGCCACAGCAGGCCCCTTTCTTGCAATGTAACTTGGGGAGGAGGCGTCACCTGCTACCTTTCATCCATTCCTCCTTAATTAGGGAAAATGTCTCTCCAGCCCTTTTGACTTCATGTGCATTTTGGAGTTCTGGTTTAAATTCAAACAGTTTAATTCCACAATGAACGCTGGCTAAACCAAGACAGAGAGTACTCTTAGGCTGCGTCTAGACTGGCAAGATTTTGCGCAAATACTTTTAACAGAAAAGTTTTTCCATTAAAAGTATTTGTGCAAGAGAGCGTCTACACTGGCACGGATGCTTTTGCGCAAAAGATGGCTTTTGCGCAAAAGATGGCTTTTGCGCAAAAGATGGCTTTTGCGCAAAAGATGGCTTTTGCGCAAAAGATGGCTTTTGCGCAAAAGATGGCTTTTGCGCAAAAGATGGCTTTTGCGCAAAAGATGGCTTTTGCGCAAAAGATGGCTTTTGCGCAAAAGATGGCTTTTGCGCAAAAGATGGCTTTTGCGCAAAAGATGGCTTTTGCGCAAAAGATGGCTTTTGCGCAAAAGATGGCTTTTGCGCAAAAGATGGCTTTTGCGCAAAAGATGGCTTTTGCGCAAAAGATGGCTTTTGCGCAAAAGATGGCTTTTGCGCAAAAGATGGCTTTTGCGCAAAAGATGGCTTTTGCGCAAAAGATGGCTTTTGCGCAAAAGATGGCTTTTGCGCAAAAGATGGCTTTTGCGCAAAAGATGGCTTTTGCGCAAAAGATGGCTTTTGCGCAAAAGATGGCTTTTGCGCAAAAGATGGCTTTTGCGCAAAAGATGGCTTTTGCGCAAAAGATGGCTTTTGCGCAAAAGATGGCTTTTGCGCAAAAGATGGCTTTTGCGCAAAAGATGGCTTTTGCGCAAAAGATGGCTTTTGCGCAAAAGATGGCTTTTGCGCAAAAGATGGCTTTTGCGCAAAAGATGGCTTTTGCGCAAAAGATGGCTTTTGCGCAAAAGATGGCTTTTGCGCAAAAGATGGCTTTTGCGCAAAAGATGGCTTTTGCGCAAAAGATGGCTTTTGCGCAAAAGATGGCTTTTGCGCAAAAGATGGCTTTTGCGCAAAAGATGGCTTTTGCGCAAAAGATGGCTTTTGCGCAAAAGATGGCTTTTGCGCAAAAGATGGCTTTTGCGCAAAAGATGGCTTTTGCGCAAAAGATGGCTTTTGCGCAAAAGATGGCTTTTGCGCAAAAGATGGCTTTTGCGCAAAAGATGGCTTTTGCGCAAAAGATGGCTTTTGCGCAAAAGATGGCTTTTGCGCAAAAGATGGCTTTTGCGCAAAAGATGGCTTTTGCGCAAAAGATGGCTTTTGCGCAAAAGATGGCTTTTGCGCAAAAGATGGCTTTTGCGCAAAAGATGGCTTTTGCGCAAAAGATGGCTTTTGCGCAAAAGATGGCTTTTGCGCAAAAGATGGCTTTTGCGCAAAAGATGGCTTTTGCGCAAAAGATGGCTTTTGCGCAAAAGATGGCTTTTGCGCAAAAGATGGCTTTTGCGCAAAAGATGGCTTTTGCGCAAAAGATGGCTTTTGCGCAAAAGATGGCTTTTGCGCAAAAGATGGCTTTTGCGCAAAAGATGGCTTTTGCGCAAAAGATGGCTTTTGCGCAAAAGATGGCTTTTGCGCAAAAGATGGCTTTTGCGCAAAAGATGGCTTTTGCGCAAAAGATGGCTTTTGCGCAAAAGATGGCTTTTGCGCAAAAGATGGCTTTTGCGCAAAAGATGGCTTTTGCGCAAAAGATGGCTTTTGCGCAAAAGATGGCTTTTGCGCAAAAGATGGCTTTTGCGCAAAAGATGGCTTTTGCGCAAAAGCATCCGTGCCAGTGTAGACGCTCTCTTGCACAAATACTTTTAATGGAAAAACTTTTCTGTTAAAAGTATTTGCGCAAAATCTTGCCAGTCTAGACGCAGCCTTAACGTCCTGGAACCTTAACATCCCCCTCTGTCCTAGAATGGGTAGCTTGGTGTTCAATATACATTCCATCCGAAAACACTAGGTGCCAATAGCAGATTCTCCCTCCTGCTTGACAGGTGGCACTTAAGGGCATATTTCTCATCTCTCTATTCTGAGTCTTGGTTCTATGTTAGGTCCCTGGGTTTTAGGCTCTGAGAGATGCAAGTGGCCTGGATATCAGATATGTATGTTCCCTGGCCATCCGCATCTGTCATATGACTTTCATGTTATGACTCTATTGCTAATAAGAAAAGGGAAACTAGACCTGAGTCATGTGACAATATAGAGGTGCATTAGGTATTGTGTTCAACAAAAGGGGGAAAAAAACAGTGATATGTTGAATTAAAAATGGCTCATTCTTATCTTCCCGTAAGACATTCCAAATGTTAAATTGTTTTGACGTAAACAAAAGTTGATTTTACTGGGGATTTAAAAAGGAAAATCCACTTGCTGGTAATGTCCTGATGTATATAACATCAACATAGGCTGTGGTGAGGAGAGGGTGTCTTTGAGTTAGAGTATGCCAAGCCACAAGTAGGGTTGCCATGTGTCCAGTTTTGAACTGGACAGTCCAGTATTTGAGCTTTCTGTTCAGAAAACTAATTGTGAAAATATAAATGTCTGTCACTTTCTAAATAAGATATAATGTAGATTGTGATGTAAAGTCAAGTGTGTCTGAGACTTTTGTTCATACCATCTGGCAACCCTAGCCACGAGAAGCGGTGTGTTTGTGGGAGGGTGATCTGGCAGGTAAGAAAACGGTTTAATTAAACTAAGAAACTGGGGATATAATGGCTTTGTCACAAACTGGTGGAGGGAATAGAAACCAGCAGTCTTGATTTGCTCTCCGTTATTCAATAGTCTGCTCTTCTTGAGTCTGATTTAAAATAGTAGTTTGCTATTCATACACATTTCCCATAGAAGGCCTCATTTGTTTTCTGTGCCACCCAAGATGTGGCTCTTCTTGAAACACATGAGAGAACCCTTAATCGCCAAGGAGAGGCACTTCAAAAACTGAATTCATACTAATACTCAGAGTCTCCCTTGAGATTTGGCATATCTGGAACAGCTGGAAGGGTGGTCCAGAGACTTCATAAATTTGTGTGTATAAACACTAACTACAGATAGCAACTCACTTGAGGACCGCCACCTTGCACTAGGAAGTGGGAGCTAATAGCAGTCATGGAGAAAAAACATGCCTATAAACTTTGTAAATATCTACAAACATCCATTAGTAGGGGATGATTCTTGGCTGATCCAATCCCGAAGTCCAGGAAATCCCAGCCAGGGGCTGCTGCAGTGGTTGGTCTCAGATCTCCTTTCCCCTTTGTGAAAAGAAAGAAATATACATGGAGATGAAGCTTCAGACCCCTTTTTAAAATTATGGATTCATAAAGAAAAGTCCTTACCTGTCTCAAAATAACATCTTATTAAAGCTGAAATTATAGCATCTGATTTTTCAGACTTATATTGTCAGTTAGTACTGTGATGTTTGGGATGCAAGCAATGGAGAGTGGTGTTGATTTTTTTCAAAATTTTTGTATGATCCAGGATGTATATAACACTATCGTTGGTAACCAATGCGTGTTAAGACTTACAAATTTAAAATGGACTAGTTATTATAATCGAGTTGGACTCAAACTTCTGCAAACCCCACAACTACCTTTCAAGAATTTTTATTCTGTTTTCCTGTGAAATGACAGGTCTTACAGTGTGTGATCTTACTCTGAACAGCTTGCTATATTTCCATAAGCTAGATTGTGTGATTTGTCTCATGATATTAGTATGTGAGCAAAGAAGAAGTTGCAAAGCAGGTTCTTCATTCAGACTTTGACTCCAGTATTGAAAACATACTAAAAATTTGTCTCTAAACAAGATTTTTAATTTCTGTCTTCTATGACCGTGTCCATTATAGATTAATTTTAGAATTTTGTTAATAGTATTTTTGGTTCTAAATTTAAATATTCACTCTTCTGCAGGTGTGAAGGGAAATCCCAATGTGAAAGCCTTATCAAAAATCAATGAAAACTTTGAAGTGACCAAAGTGAACAATTCAGCTGATCAGAGGTCTGTAGTAATACACATTTAAAATATACCACTATCAATTACATTATTTAACTTCAAAGCTACTTATACTAAATTCATAACTATCTGATAAATATTTGGATAGATGTCTACCAAATTCTGGTAGCTGTTACCTATTTAATATTTGACCACCATCTAAAAGAGATGGCTTTTTAAGGACACTTTTAAATTTAAAAACTGTAAAATGAGCTAAATTTTAATAAGCATAATGCACATGCAAGCTTCATTTTTTTCCAAATATAGTGTTCAATTAAATGATGAGAAAATCACAAACACGGACATCAGAGGAAAAAGTACTACACAGTTAAAGGTATGAACATCAATTTTTACTCCACTACCTATTACTAAATTTTAACTTTTATTGGTTGGTACTCTTTGGTGGAGGGCAAGATACTGGGAATGGGGAAGGGTATACTAGCCTTCTGTGGGTTAATTCTCCACTTTTGTACACAAGCATTACTCCCACCAAAGTTACTGCAAGTCAAATGCATTTGTTTAGGGCTGAACTTTATGGGGTGGTTGTTGTGGTTTTTAGTTGGTTGGGGTTTTTTTTGCACTTTGGGTTGCCAGAACAAAAGCTGGTGTATAACTTGTAAACATACAGAAATACTAACTAGCTGCTATCTGATCTTAGGCAAATCATGAATTGACCCTGCCTCAGTTTCCCCATTTGCAAAACTGAGAGTACAGTAGATGTCCCCGGGAGCTGCAGGCATCAGTGGCTCCAGGAGAGCGACGGGGCAACAAGCGGGGGCCATTCTTCTGCCCTGTGCTCTGGAGCCGTTGATGGCACTCCTGCTGGCACCGCTTTGTCCTAGGAGCTGCAGGCATCAGCAGCTCCAGGGCACGGGCAGGGAGAACGGCCCCGCTAGCTACCTCGTCGCTCTCCTGCAGCTGCTGATGCTGCTCGTGCCGGTGGCCGCTTTGTCCCCTCCTTGTAGCTCCCAGGGACGAAGCAACACCGGGAGGAGCAGCATCAGCGGCTCTAGGAGAGTGACGGAGCAGCGAGCGGGGCTGGGCGCCCAGGAGCTGCAGGGAGGGAAAGGGCCAGGGCCAGGCAGGTATGGGGCCAGGATACATACAGTTTACATATGGTCTCATTTAGGTCGGATAATTGGGACTTTGCTGTACTTATCTCAAAACACTTCTCAACAGTGTTAACAAATCAGAAGTACTACACAATAGCTAGATAATGTCAATCAATGGAAACTCACTTCATTTCTGTAAAATCCCTTTTAGTTCAAACACATCTTACAAACTTAAGTCCTATCACATCTCAATGTAAAATGATTATCCTCCGTTATTATTGTAAAAAAATTATGTTTTGGTGTTCCTTATTTATCCTTAGTTACTTCAATACCTAGGCCCTGATCATGCAAACATTCAGCTTTCTGGATGTGAGTAGTCCCCCTGAGTTCTACAGGCCTACTTAGATGTATAAAGTATTTATGGGTATACAGCATCATATTTGTGCAAATCAGTTTTACTTTTAAGCAACAGCACTTTAGACTCAATATGCAAATATCAACTTGAAGGTTTGTGTTTTGTTTGTTCTCTTGTTTCATATATTTGAACTGGCCTTGCATTTGTTATTTAATGTAGAACTTTGCTTGATTGCAGTAGGCCTTCAATGGAAGCTTTACCCAAGCAACAATTATGATAAAGCCAGCTGTTACTAACAGTAGAGTCAGAATAATAAGTCAAATGGCAGTTTTGCTAATGATGAATGGAAAAACAGTAAAATCAACTGTATTTGCTATGTGATGCTGTCAGGTTCACTTGTCAGTAAGCCTAAATGACAAATGTATTGCAAGAAAGTCATTCTACAAGCTTTAGTTTGGAATCTTTGATAATATAAGAATAAATCTGATTACATCTCTAGATCTAGTTTTGTTATTTGCATCTGAATCTTCACTTGTAAATTTTAGGAATCTCTTCAAAGCAACTGTGAAAGTAACGAAAGTTGGAGAAACAGTGAGACTACTTCAGGGGAGTACATTTTAAGCTATTAATGTATATAAGAGCAAACCAATAATGCACTAACTACTTGTGTTAAACTTCTGTCTGTTTGCTCTTGTATCTAGCCATTACAATCTTCGAACCTTTTCCAGACCTGATGAGCTCTGTGTGATCTTGAAAGCTTGTTTCATTTACCAACAGAGGTCCAATAAAAGATATTGCCCTCACCCACCTTGTCTCTTGACAATCCAGAGACTGACATACCTGCAATAACATTACATATTATGTTCAGGAAGTACACACTTTTTGAATCAAGGTTGGATGTCTGCTTCTGTTGATTCCAGCATGTGTCTGGTCAATTTTTGATAAAGTGCCTCTCAGTGGCTAATGTATTTTACCTTCATTTATGAACAGGACTCTGCTCCTTACAAAGTAACTAACACTTCTCAGAAAATCCCTCTTTCTCTATATTCTTAACTTTTTTCAGGGCCATATAGGAATGTAGTCCTGATGGTTATGGGTTGCCAGTCTCCCAAATGTCATTGGGAGGATTACCTAGCTACTCTACTAGATCTGTATCCTTTGGCTAGAAGAACATTTTTGAGTGATAACCTGTTAATCAGGGTTATTCCTCCTCTATTGAAAAGTGCCATGGGATACTCCAATTCTACCTAGATCTCCACTTGATCTCTACCACAAGGGATCTACTGTAGATTTAATATCTCATTTAAAAGTCATTATATATGGCTACACAGGGAGCTTAGCTGCACTGTGAGCTTGCCCCCTTCAAGCTGACACTAACTGAAAGGGTTTTTCTCTAGAGAAGAGGGTTGGATAACTTCAAGCATACATCAAGAGTTTCTCCAAATATCATTTTATGATGTACTGCTAGGCATACCGAATGGTCACATTTCTAATAGATTTTAACATTTAGAACAAATCTGTTTGAATATTTCAGGACAAATCTTGTCAAATTTTAAAAAATAATATTGACTAAAAAGAGTTTAAGACATTTACCTCCTTTAAAGAATAAAGATTGTTTCTAGGCTTATGACATAAGCCAAGTTTCAATTTGTACCTTGTGTTAAAATGTTGGTTTTTAAAACCATCCATAATAATTGAAGATATTTAGCTCATTACAGAATCAGAACCTATGCCCTTTTCTGGTGGTCCATTGATAAAGAAATCATGATTTGCAAAAGACCATATTGAAACTTTTTTTTTTCCCTTTTAAATTGCAGGAATGACTCTGCCTACAGGGGTCTCTACCTTTCTACTGGACTGCTTGGACATGGATTCCAGTACAGAATCTATTGATAGCATGAATAGTTGCCCATCACCTGAAATATTCAGGAATGAAGATAGTTTAGGTAAAAACTAATTTTCACATTATTAAGATATGATACAGTTACAAATACTATATTTATATAATTCATTTATTGGGTTAAATCTCTGGATTGAGCCAAGCTATGTTCATTGCAGACCTCAGAGGGCTTGACCATCCAGTCTAGGGGTTAACTGGCCATAATGCATAATTTGGAGTAGATTTAAATGCTAGCAGAAATAGTTCCTTAGGTATTTCAGTATTACAACTTGTACCTCCCTGGTCTGGCACCCTGGGGACTTGTCCTGTCCCAAACCAGAGAATCTGCCAGACCATAGGTGTTTAATGCTGGCCCTTCTGCTGCCATCAGTTGTGGGGCTCCGCTCCTGTTGTAGCAGAAGGGCGGGTGGGGGGGGGGGTGGGAGACACTGGGAGAAGAGTCAAGATAGCTATGGGGGCCAGGAGTGTAGGACACTGGGATTACAGCAAGTTCTGAGGAAGCTGAGCTGCGCTGCTGGCCCCTGCTGCCAACTGTGGAGCTGCACTCCTGGGGCTCTGCAGCCACCCTGCCTCTTCCCCTGAGCGTCCCCATCCCCACTTCTCTATTTGTAGCACTCTAAGAAAGCAGTTGTGTGTGTCTTTAAGGATGTACACTCTGGCAGGTGTTAGCGTTGGGTAGCACAACAATATACTGCATCAGAGATTTCAGCTGTAATTATACAGAGAAAAATTTTATTTTGTTTCTCTATAGTATGTAGCAACGAGGCTGGCTATAACCAGGGCTCGACAAATACACTCGCCTGCAGTGAGTAGATTTTACCAGCTGGCGAGTGCAGGGGCAGACTGGCCCGGTGGACCATTGTGATGGGCTGGCCAAAGCCCACACTACGGGCAGTGCGGCCCCATCCGATCTGCTGGCCGGTGGAAGAGCAGAGCGCCGCTGGGAAGCGGGGAGTGCGGTGATTCTCAGCGTCAAGCTGCCTGCGTGCAGCTCAGGCGCAAGGAGGCGGGGTGTGAGCCAGAGGGCAGGACGCCAGGATGCTGGTGTGACATGGTGTCCTGACGTCATGGCCAGCGACCGCCGGATTCAAAAAGGCTCCGACAACCTCACAAAGTGGAAGGCAGACGCTGGGGAGGGGAAGGGCGGGGCAGGGATTGTGCTGTGGGGAAGGGGAGAAATAAGGGGAACGGGCTTGTGCGGAGGTGAGGGGAGGAGGTCAGGAGAAGAAGAAAGGGGAAAGCACCAAGGGACAGGGGTGCAGGAGCGAGAAATGCCAGGGGGCCAAGTGCAGATAATGAGGAACAGGGGAGGTGTCCGTGGGAGGGGGGACAGGGTGATGTTGGGAGAGGAGAGGAGAAGGGCATTGGTAGCTAGAGGGGGGAGGTGGAGGTGCTGGGCGAAAGCTTGAAAGAAGGGGTGGACATGAGGAAGGCGGGGATGGAGCAAGGCATGTGTGAGGACACAGGGGCATGAGGGTGGTGAGGAGGTGGGTATCAGGGAAAAAGGGGGAAGGGGCAGTGAGGGAAGGGGAAGGCACCAGGAGGGTTCAGGTGCCAGGGGATTCTGGGGGTGAAGCAGAAGGGCAGACACCTGCAGGGGAGGGACCAGCACCAGAGGAGAGAGGCAGGGCAGGTGTGTAGAGGGAGGTGTTAGGAGAAGGGATAAGGAGGGGTAGCTCACATGATCAGAATGGGGCTACTGGAGGGATGGGCAGAGGGGGGAGAGAAGGGCTGGTGGAGGGGGGCAGGTCTCAGGAAGGCTGAGGGAAGTGAGAAAGGCAGAGTCAGGACAGCAGAGGAGGGTGAGGAGTTAGGGGACAGCAGGCACCAGGGAAGCTGGTAGAGCAAGGGGTGGAGACATGGCAGCGGAGGGAAAAGGTAGAGGTTTACAAGATATTTATTAATAACTTGGGTGATATTTATTAACTTATTAGTAACTACTGTTCTTATCTTATTACTGTTCTTATCTTATTTGGGGTGGGGGTGGCAAGTCCCTTTTTTGTCTGGCGAGTAGGGTTTTCCATAATTTGTTGAGCCCTGGCTATAACAGCTGATAGAGCAGCAGTTCTAACCCAGCACCTGGCCAGACCCAGCACCTCCCCTCCCACGTCAGCTGTTGGGAGATGCATGTCCTACCCCGTTTCTCAGCCAACCATCACCAGATTCTCGCGGGCCCTGAAAAGTCATTCTTCCTCTCTGCCCAATGCTGATCAAGCCTATTGTATTCTGTTCTGTGCACCATACTCCAGAAAAGTTGTAGACAAACTGGAGAAGATTCAGAGGCAAGCAAGATAAAATGGCTAGAAGATTTGACCTGCAAAGAAAAATGTTAAAAGACAGGCTTTAGTCTGGAGAAAAGAAGCCGGAGGTGGAGCATAAGTCTTCAAGTATATAAAAGGCTGTTTACAGGGAGTGGGGAGATGTTTTCCTTATCCACTGAGGAAAGGACAAGAAGTCATGGGCTTAACCTGCAGCAGGGAGACTGCGAGCTAAGACAGTGCTTTGCTCTGCGGGAGGACGGCTGCGTGGAGCCCAGCCCAGCAGCCTTAGAGCAGCCGTGACACGGACAGCAGCGCTCAGCTGGCGCTGGGAAGCAGCTCAGGACTAGATGAGGAGGGAGGCAGTGCAGGGCTAGGTAAGGGGGGTGGGGCTAGTGCTAGGGGGCTCTGGGGATGGGGCTATATATTGGGGGCTGGCACTGGGGGGAGTTGGAGGCAGTGGGGCTCTGGAAACAGGAGGCTGGCACTAGGGGCGGTCGGGTGGTGGAGGGCTGGCACTGAGGGTCTCTATGGGTAGGAGGCTGGCACAGTAGGCTGGGGATGGGAGTAGTGGAGGGCTCTAGGGGTTGGGGCTGGCATTGGGGAGCTCTTGGGCTTCGATGTACCCAACCCCCAGAGCCACCATGAACAGCCAGCTTAAGCTGCAGCAGCCACCTGATACGTGGCGACTACTGGAGCAGAAGCTGGCTGTTCACAGTGGCTCAGGGGGCCAGGTCTTTTGGTGCACTGGTAACATTTTATTTTCATATTTGCATAACGAATATGCAAATCAAATTGTACCAGTCCAAAGTTTGTGAATAGGTGTGCTGGTCTGTGGTATTAAAAAAAGGTTGGGAACTACCGTGACAGAGGACCTTCCTCAAGGCTCCTTATATACTTCAGAGGGAGGGCCTTTATCTTACAAATATCACAGATCTACATTATAGACTAAATTTAGAAATGGAATTAACTACAGAATGAAAGGCAACTTCCAACTGTATCTTCTGTGTGCAGACAGAAATAATTCCAATCCTGAGGAGTGTCTCAAATATAAGAATTCTACTCTCCTGGATACCAGCAAAGCAGTGACCATAGATAAGATGCCACAGCTTTCAAATCTTTCAGAGATATTGGGTACCTTTTTATATTAAATCATTTCAAATGCTTATTTCACTAAATTAAAAACTGCAGTAGTGTGAACTCCACATCTAAAGACCATGGAAGTCCCTATACTTTAATTCATTGTGAAGACCCTTCTGCCTTATGGTGAATAGCACCTCAAGATGATAATCATATTTATAGTACTTAATATGCAGTAGGATAACTCTCCCTTTCATAACTATATTTTAAATGTAAACTTTCTTGTCTTGTAGAGCCCATATATGAGGGTCATCAAGACCAATACGTTGGGAGGTAATCTGTAAAGCAGAGAATTTTACTTAATTTTTAGTAAACCTACAAAATACATGTATTTTATACTCTGTCCTGTACATGCAAATTATTGCCCTGACTTGCAAATATGCTGTGATCATCCCCAGTGGCTTAAGTGGAATTGATTAATGTGAGGAAGTGTTTGAAGGGTTGAGATAAAGATCTACTAAAACAAGCTACCTTTTTAATTGGTTCCATTATACCAGGAGTGGGGAACCTATGCTTGCCTGGATCTGGCCCCTGAGGCTCAGGGTTCTCCTTCTCCCTTCCTCCCAGCATTGGGGAGCCCGCTCTTGTGTTCCAGCCTCTGGCTGTCCCCCGTGGCGCTGGAGCACACAATCTACTAGCCTGGGCCCTCCCCCAAGTCTCTGGTATATGAGGGAATGTAGAGAGTGTCTTTCTCCTCAATTGGGGGCCACATCAGTGAGGGTTTGTTTTTTGCTTCTCACTTGTGAGGCCCCTGACAGATTTTTTTTTTTTTTCCTGTGAATCAGCGGCCCCAGCCCAAAAAAGGTTTCTCACCCTTGCATTACATGCTACTTAAATATTTTTGTGGGTTTTTTTTGTTTTGTTTTTTTTTCTATAGTGAAATATATCCTGTACTTGATTTCGGTGATTTCTCTTTTCAATCTTTGGATTATAAATTCCCTTCATATTATTATGCTACTTTATCTGATAAACTGTAGATATTTGAATAATTTGATCAGCTGTTTTGTGTGATTGGCTAATTAAAAAGATCATAGAAATTCAATTACTTTTTCTATGAAAATGAAGAGGAAAGTTTAGAGCTGTCTGTTTTCTGTAAATATTTTGCTGTCTAAAGATACTTAAAACAGATTTTTTTCATTTATTAGAGAGTCACCAACAAAATGCAATAAAGATTCTTCTAAGTTGATGAATGTTTCAACAATCGTGGCAGGTAAATCAGTCTAAAATAGCTGTATTACTTGCACTTTTTTAAATTCCACTTTAAACTTATTTGGATTCTGCTGCCAATTATGCTGATTCCCACCAAATTCTCTTGTGCTAGATCATCTCTAACCTAGTGACAGCCTAGCCACCTACCTTGCAGAAAACCAGTAAGGAACATTGCTATTCAAGATAGTAAGTCTTGGCAGCACAGTTAATTGGAAAACGGCTTACATTAATTTGCCACCTGATTTCTTTGAATGATTTCTGTGTGGTTCGAGATCTCAGCATGCAGGAGGCGTTAATTTAGGGAATATAAAGACTGAGTGTACTGAAGGAAAGGGCTCATAAGAACTAATATTGGTGGAAAAGGGGATTTGACTGACTCGGTCTTATTGGAGAGGGTATGTGAGAATCAGTTCCTTGTTTTTATTTTTGATTGTATGTAACTTTTTGGCAGAGGTGAGTAGCACTGAGGTTTAAAAAAAAAATCTAAAATAACTATATACAATAAACTTCCGATAATCTGGCACCTTTAGGACCCAGGGGGTGCCGGATTATCAGATATGCCGGACTATTGGAAGGGGGGCTATGAGGGGTCTACGGTGGTGTGGAGGGGGATGCCACCCCAGACCCCTCATAGTCCCCCTCGCCCTTCCGATAGTCTGGCTCTGTCCAGG